ATTTGTAGCTTGTAATTCCTCTTGGAGTTTTGCTTTCTCTTGTTCGAAATTCGTACGATCTCTTTCTCTCTCTGTAAGCAGTCGACTAATCGATTTTTCATACTCTTCGACTACGACCCTGAAATTAATATTTCGCGATTATTTACATATCAATACAATATTATATAGGTATTTACATTAACAATGGAGTATTATAGGACAGGGTACATAATATGTTACAAGCTGTTTTCTACAAGCCATTGCAAATATCAACTTGAAATTTTCAGGTTTTAAATGATGCAGAGGGAATAACATTTCAGGGTATAAGATATTGTGGGGGAGAGTGGAAAATACCTTACACAAGAGGAGTTCCATAAACGTGTAGAAAGATATCAAAGGAAATTTGCTTTGAAAATTATTTTTCAAATATGTCACCGGATTTAGCACCAGTTGACCTTTTTTATGGGGCTATGTAAAGGAGAAAATGATTGCAGCAGTGGCAACTATGAAAGAGGATATGAAAAAAGGAATTAACACTATAAATTCGTAACTTCAGAAATGTCAGATATTTAACAAAGCTATCATCACAAGAATAAACGTGTGTTTGGGAGTGAATGTACAACTGCTTGAACATCTAGTAAAATAATTTTCAAAGCAGAATACATTCCATGTATAAAGTATTTTCTGCTACAATTTCTTAACTATGCGAAATAAAAAAGAGCTTTAGATAAAAGTTATTAGGTTTGATAACATCTGTCCAAATATCAAAAAATTAATATGCCACTCCATTTAAAAAATATGGGAGTAGTAATCTTTTCACCCTTGAGAAACTCTCCTCCTTAATTTCTTACACTCAAAAATATCAACCCTTCTGCATCATTTAACACCTGAAAATCTCAAGTTGACATCTGCAATGACTTTGGAGAAAACAGCTTGTAACACTTTATCTGCCCTATTCTGTGGAGATAACTTGGAATAACTTACGTCATTTGAGATTTACTCTTTATCTCCTGTGCCATTTGTGCTTGTAATTTGTTAATTTTTTCTTGAAAAGCATTCTTTTGCTTCTCTAATTCAGTTTCGTACTCTTTTTTCCGTTTCTCTAGTTCTTCTTCTAGCTGTAATACAGTTGTCCTTACTAATTCTAATTCCTTACTCATATTAATATCGGTAATAAGTGGAGTATCTGATTTTGATTCTTCTACAGGCTGTTCCTATATAACATAGGTATAAATATATATATTCACCTAATAACAATATTAGTAAAGACACGAATTATGATAAATTACAACGTACTTTGCTTGCCATTTTCTCTTGAAGTTCATCTGTTTTCTGCGTTATATTTGTACAAATAGGACTATAAAAAAGTAGCCTATCTATAGCTGCTATGGCAGGATTACGTTTAGGAGTATCAATATTCACTGGTACGCTTTCACTTTTGTCGTTTTGTTCCTCGTTTATGGATTGTACATTTCCTTGAGGTAACATACTAGTATTTGCTACCAATGGATCAAATTTTACATACAAGGACTCGCTTCTCAAACGATTGACAGTTTTCGAATTGCCGTGATTTATCAAAAAATCGAAGCTCGTAGGATCCTGGAAGACTGTGATATAAAATGACTATTAATAACTGTTCATTGACATAAAAAAAAAATTTCCTATGAGAAACACTTACTTTCGGATGTCGCGCTAATGAAACAATGGGTTTCTTCTGAGAATTCCAATGAAGATTTACAAATATCATTGGCAACCTGTTCAGCAGCAGATTGCAGTTCTTCGAAATTCGGCTCTTCGATGTTCAACGCAGTTAACGTGGTGCTCTGTCGTTGCGGTTTGAACTCCGTATACAGTTCCTCTTCCGGTACAGTCTCCGAAATCAAAGAAATATCCTCTAATATAATAGTGGTATCTAATTTCTTGTCAGAACACTGTTCCTCTATATTCTCGTTTTCATTTTCTTTTATCGAATTTATTAGATTTGTCTTTAGCAAATCATCTGTCCTCAGCAAATCATCTGCGTTCTGCAAATCGTCTACTTTCTTGTCAAAAGATTTATCCGATTGACTGGTTTCTACCTCTTCTTTTCTAGGAGTAATAGCATCTGTGTTCAAAGTATCTTCTTTTAACGAAGGAAGTTCAAGGTTATTAACAACACTTTCTGTTATTACTGTGTTCTTAATCTCTTGACAAATATTCGTAGCAGAATTTTCTTGAATCTCAGGCGTTTTTGATCTCACGAAAGAAGAAGTATCATCTAGACAAGTCTGTTGTTTGTCATTTATAACATTTACATAATCCTTTACATCATTGTTAGAAAAGTTCAATGAATTTGTCAAACTACTATTTGTATCTCGATTTTTATCTTGAATAGGACTTTTCACTGCGATTTGCGGAGATGAAATTACTGCTATGTTAGAATTATTCACAGGAGACAAAGTCCTTGCCAGTTGATTTTCTACATTGTTCTCATCTTCTCGAGCATCGCTTTCGCCCAACTTCGCCGAATCTGTGCTGTTCAACAAAGAAGAAAGCGTTGGTACACTAGGCAACGATGTCTCTTCTGCATATTCCGTGAACACAGACGTCGAATTACATACAGAATTTACAGTGTATGGTATAAAATTGAGAGACAAAGAATCAACTTCGCCCGAGCTATTCTCTATCAAACTAGATTCCTTTTCCCTAGGAACATCTGCGACTTCTTTATTAGGTGACAAACACACAGTCAAATTTAAGTTAGGTTCCTCTGTGCAACGTGGCAGTGAAATCTCATCAACGCCATTTACGGAGCTATTACTCGTCTGATGATCATCGCTACTGTCATTACCCTTATTAGCAGAAGAGGATCTGCTTGTTATTCCCTCTAATCGTATAAAACTATTCCTCCTGTTTGATTCTATAATCGCTACGGGCAGAGGTTCCTTGATGCAAATGGTGTCTATGATAGGTATTTCTTTAATTTCCTCTGTAGAATTAGTCAGCGTTGAATTGTCATCGACAACTTGCACTATTTTCCGAGATTCAGTCAACGAAAACTCAGAGAGATCTTTGGTAATATCGACTGGTAGCTCGTCAGTGGCAGATGCGAATGTTTGATCCTGACTGAAGTCTTGAGAGTTTTGAAGAGTACTGTATGAATGATCGTCGTCCTCGCTATTTAAGTTTATCTGTGCACAACCGGCGATCAGCTCTCCTAAACCAGATATATTCGAGTCCACGTATGAATCGTCCAAAACCTGGTTGGGGCTCTGAGGCGTGGAATCTGCACAGATTCCACTACTGCTCTTTGTGCTTAAAGTACTGCTGAGACTTTGGAAACTGCTTGCCGAAGACAGACTCTCCGGAGCCGAGTAGGTGATCGATCCAACGTCGGCGAACTCACGAGCGAATCGAACCTTCACCTCATGCTCTGCACTTTTCGATGTAGAGTTGTCGCCGCCACTCTATGAAACAGAAAGAAGATATTATTAAGCAACAGAACAGAAATGTTACATCAATTAGAATTTATTTCTTTTTTTATTTTTTCAATTGCCATTTGTTTGACCAAAAATGCAAGTACAATTTCGAATGAAAGACGAATCAATAATCGAGCACAGATTCTAAAGACAACCTCTTTTGTTATTAAGAATCAGCGAAAGCTGTTGAGAGATTCAAGGACACCGATGAATTTCGATAACGACGCTGGGATTTTCCGAGCCGACCCTGAATACGTTCAATTCCAGGCTTACATTCGCGTTAATTAATGAGAAATTTTCCGCTGCAGCGTACGCTCGAACGAGTCTAAAAAACCTATATCTGCCTCTGCCAATTCACAGGCGCGAGAAGTTCGCGTTTAATTTGGCTTTCGACTAGTTAGACGCAAAATACCGGCGGCGTGGGCGATGGCGACGGCGATGGCGATGGCGGCAGCAACGTCCTTGCCGGGATCGCGGCAGCTCGATGAAGCAGTTTATTGATATATTCCATTTTTTCGCGTAACAAATGTAGAATAAAGATGCGTGTTCAACGAGCAATCGTAGTCCACTGGCAAAATTCGCATCAGCTGATCTCTCGAGGCAAGGCTCGCGGATTTCTTTCAGAAATTGCGCAACTTCTTCGTCGCTGAGACTAATTATAAAATATACCAGCACGAAGAGAGGGAGATGGAGATTTTGTTTTGACCGATCTCGCGCCAGTCTTGTCCGCGAATCCATGCCAAGAACAGTTATGAGTGGACGGTGCTCGCGGCGAAAAAATACCTCGGTCCGTATCGCCTCGATCCTGTGATCGCGACTCGCGGTGAAAGATGGTGGCTGTCGAGACGTGGATACAACTGTGATCATATAAATTCAAGTCTAAATTTGAATCCAAGAGCGAGGATCTTCTGCGTGAAGTTTCTTACGATTCCATCATCTAAGAAGATGCATCGTTGGATTAAAAAATTCGGTGTTCCTCGCGAAGGAATTAAAACGAGTTATCCGAAGATAACCGAATTGCCTAATGTCTGTCTGATGTCTAATTGCCTCTAATCTATCGATTGTCTAACAGCGTATGTATCTATTTCTTACGCCTCGTTCAAATTATTCAAATCACTTGAATTTCATAGCCCGAACGAGCTTTTAAATGGTCCACTGAAACGTCTTACGTGTCGTAGGAAATTTCTCAAAAAAATTGAAAATCCAACAAAGCGAGCGATTTCGTTATTCGAGAGTTCGTGCAACTTGAACGCAATATTATTAGCGGATTTTTTTTTCTTTTTGTTAGAAAGCGGTGTTTTGAGAAGATTACCTTGAAGATGAAATTCCCCATGACTTCCCGAAGGGCCTCCACTTTCGGCTGTCACTGCTGGCCGATATGAGGCCATATTTACACGCGGGTTCACAGAACCCCACGTAGCGAACTTTCTTTCTTTCTCCCCGCCTATATATCCTCACCCCTGACACGTTTATTTCCGACGACACGGCGCATCTTTCGTTTATCATTTACCCTATTCGCGGTCTTGTGTATTTTTTCTTCGATTTCTCGTTTATAAGCGTCTTCCTTTCGTTCCACCCCTCTTGCCCCGAGAGAGGAAAGAAAGCTCACAGTGGAAAGGCTTATTTTCACCTTTTTATAGCCCCGAGCTAGTTTGATCGAAGATTGCAAAATCATTCGATTAAAAAGTTCGTATACGTGTTGTAATGTATTCGCCTCGAATACATTAGACGTACGATATTCACCGACTTGGAAGAATTCGCTAATTTAACGATATCTTACAGAGATATGGCCAACACTCGTCTCAATTATTAATGTGAAACCTCTCTCGATTCACTCTCTCGAGTTTACCCACTTTTTGCTCTAATAAAGTCGCCCAGGTTTTATCTGGAAGTTTTCACCGTAAGCTCTAATCCGAACAACGAGAGAAAATCGAACAAAGACGAATGATAAATTCGTCCTACTCGATTAAATTCACAAATCCAATTAATAAGACTCATCCGATTTCTGCGTTTAATTAAGACATCAGTCTGTTGCGTCTTGCTTCTGATTTGATTAAGTACGTGAAAACATATCGCGTTAGAACGACGGACAAACATTTTACGGAGAACAGATGCATTTAGAAAGTAGAATATGTAAATCGCGCACTAATATAACACGTTAACCATTATGGATTAGGTGTAGCTACTCTATAGCTCGTGTTATGCGCTTCTTCTTTCACAGAATACGTCATTAATTCCATGAATATTGATGGTGCTTTTTTAGTGCGTCTTGGTTTCTGTGGAAATTACATAATTGTTTACATTGCATATGGATTACATTTCTTAATGCATCGTTATCTAATTAATAATAAATTAAAATAAATAATAATAAGATAAATGGTAACAAGATAATATAATATGTGTAGTAACGTTAATTAGTATAAATATGGATGTAGCGATAGACCACGTAATTAATTCTAGATAACTGAAATATGATAATAAACGATTGAAGGGCACAGAAAAAAACCAATTGAAGGAACGAATAATCATCGCCACGTCAATTAAGGAGAAACATTCATAGTTTGATTTAGAAAAAAAGAAAAAAAGAAAAAAATATGAAAATAATCTTGCTCGAAACTGAAAGATGATAAATCATAACATGATAATCTGATAACCATGAATAACAACGTATAATGTTTGACGAAGACTGATATACGCAACGTGGTGATTATCGTTTAACGACTGATTACATCTTTGGATGTCAATCAAAATTCTTTGAAAATAAATTGACAAGATCAACGATTTGACACGGAAAAATAAAATGCCACGCTAACAATTGAATTTGGGTCAGTTCACACTTCACACGCGAAACCTCTGTAAACCTTCGGAAGTATGTACGTACTTAATTTATCTTTAATCTTGAGAGGTTTGTAACATGTAGATATTTACTACATTGTTAAACAGCACAAATATGCTTCTGTTTATACGTACATCAGTTTACACAATTATTAATACTAAAACTAAAGAGTAATAAGAATAAGCAATTTGTAATTTTTTAGTAATTTGAATAATTTCTTGCAAATTGCTTGTTTACAATGTAAACTTGTTTTCTCCCTTGCAATTAGGTTTATATTTTTTCACGTATTTTCCATCTTCATTTCGTTGGTAAAAACTGTGTACGTTGCCATTATGTTATTGTTCAGTGTTATACAGGGTGGTTGGTAACTGGTGGTACAAGCGGAAAGGGGGTGATTCTACGCGAAAAAAGAAGTCGAAAATATAGAATAAATTTTACTTTAAAAAAATTTAAATTTTTTATACTTTAAATTTACATTACTAAATTTAATATAAATTGTACATATTATATATATTTTATAATATAATATAAATTTTTTTAAATTTTAATATAAATTTAGTAATATAAATGTAAAGTATAAAAAGTATAAAGTATAAAGTATTAAATTTTTATTAAATATTAAATACTTTAAATGTATATTAAATTTAAATGCATAATACTTTAAATTTTTTTTAGAAAAAATTTTTCGTTTGATTCAAAATCGACTTTGAATTTTCGCTCGGTACGCGTGCACTTTATCACGTCTCGTTATAACGGATCTCGCTGTAGATCGTTGTCTCGATGGAAAAATTAAAAAAAAATTTTTATTCTATATTTTCGACTTCTTTTTTCGCGTAGAATCACCCCCTTTCCGCTTGTACCACCAGTTACCAACCACCCTGTATATAGTTGCTAAGTGTTATAAATTTTTGTTATCCAATTATGCCAATAGCGGCACACGATGATTTCTACATAGGATAGCTGATGAACAATGTGCTAAAATCTGCTGTCTGTTCGGAACATGCCTTTCGTGTTCTTGCCAATGCGCCACAAGGAAGTTCGATTACGGATTCGCGGGAAATCGATTTAAAACGTATAGAAACATTCAAAGACGATGGTCGCGTGATATTTGCAGAAATACTGAAACGTAGAAACGTCATTCTGATAAGCGTAGAAGCATTCTGAGACGTACTTTTTTAACGATGTAAACGATGTTATTTATACACGGTGATCCAACAATAACCACGCTTATTATTACAGACATGAAAAAAGGTCGATATTCGTCTTTTTTTTTCTTCTTGCTTCAATAAAAGAGATGAGAACGGGTGACAAACAATTTCGTTTCTTGTGAATCATTCTATACGTGAAACAACGTAATTTACAATCTTCACACTTGGATGCATCAAGATTGCCGGCAGCAATTACACGATTTCCTAACCGTATGAAATGATGAGGACATTTTCATGAACCGTGGCAAACTGTCAATTATTATTATACTGTAGGCGCTTTTACTCGTTAAACCTACGGTATAAAGTGAACGTGTTTGCTCGAGCTCACCGTACACGAAGCGTTCAAGCGAGTGAACCGATGCAATCACAATATGACAGGCAATTCCATTCGAAACTCGAGAGGCTCGTGCTCTCCTTATTCGGCGTATTCTTGACATCATCGAGACAACACATAGATACTATCGCTATGACTCATTCCCATCTGGACGCGATGACAGAAAAAACCAGAGACATTTCTCTCCTGAGGGGTGTGTCTCTTTTTCTCTCTCTCATCCCTCTATCGTCGCTCCATTCTTTCGAGTACCGTCATCGACATCGATTTCGATTTACAAGAAAACAGAACACAGTCTTTTGCTCAATAAACTCTGTCCAATAACATTCGATGGAAAACGGCGTGAAAAGTAAGAAACGTGAAACTAGGTCTAAGACAACGTATTGCCTTCTTGCGGTCTGCTCGTCTCCATCGGAAGGATTCGCCGGAAGACACTCACCGGACCTGACGATCAACGGAGGATACTTCTGGTCGAAATTCTAATATTAGCGCAGCGCATTCTCCAGTCGATACTCTAGACTCTAGACATCCACCACTACCACTGATCTCCTCGCGATGGCACGCGACACCATATCTGTAAGCGTGTGTACGTGTGAACGCACTACCACGAGCACGCGACGACAGAACACGATGATGCAAAATATAAGCGGCTCACCTTTCGAAAGATACGCGATTCTGACAATCTGTTGGAAACGTTTACGGCTAGAGCACGTTCGATATGGAATGAATCGTTTCTAGGTCGTAAAGGATGATCAACGACGTGAGAGTCATCGCCACCGTCTTGCCACGATGATACGCGTAACTAACACTTGCTACTTGTAGGCCGCTGTCGTAACGTCGAACCGCGCACACGCCGCACGGGCATTATGCTACAAAGATCACCAACTATGGAAGTGGTGGGACACGATTCCATGGCACCGAATGGTGCGACGGCGTGGCGCTATCTGGAGTAACGTATGAATACTTGTTAATCGAATTGTTCAATTGCTGAGTAGGTAAAAAGTGAGTAAGTTATCGATAGATTGAATTAATATACCTTTTGAATTACTTTGAACATTATGCTCAAGATTTTTTTCGACTCATTCAAAATGTATTAAGACTCGAGGTTCACAAATGGTCGAGACTTTCAATAATTTCAAGTCTCGAATCATGTTCGAAATGATTCAAATTTTCAAAGAATTTAACAAATTTCGAGTCACTCCAAAATGAAGAATCAAATCGTTATCGGACACGTGATTGTCAAACGAAACGGAGAAAGAAAAATGAATGAAAATGAATGAAAAAAGAATGAATGAAAGAGATTGAATAATATAAAATATCTTTGTTTTTGTGGCATATTACTAAAAGCTGGAAGTACTTCCTTGGAGTTGCAATTTCTATTTGAATGTGTGTACCTTATGATGTATGAATGATAACTATATTTTTAATCTTAACTGTATTTTAATCGGCACTTTCTCCCGGGCAGAAATAACTACGTATTAAGTCTGATTTGAATGCGAACGAGATCTTTGTGTATACTGAATAAAATTGGAAAATAAGGAAATATCGAAAGCTACATATTGACAAAATTGAAACATGGGAAGACCACATAAATAAAATCCTGATATAAAATACAATAAATGTATCGAAATCCACGTTTCCTTAGGTAAAAATATAACCCAGAAGTACAATGCTTTTTTATAATAATCTAAAGAACCGGTTTCATCTTTGTAGTACTGATCGTGTGAATAAACCAGTTTCTGTTTCATGTACAAGAAAGAACATACTATAAGAATGTCAAGGGTCTCAACTGGTATTCGTAAACAATTCGCAAATAGTATACGAAATGTTCTGTTGTCTAGAAGTTGTCTATCTCGTACTATACTGCTCCTGATCTATTCGCATAAGTACACATTTCCGATGATTCATAATGTATAAACATAAGCTAATAATCTTTATATATTTACAATTTTCTATAAATTTTAGTTAATCTTATTGTTTAAAATTTTTTATCTTTAATGACTAGCGATTGCACAACCTAAGAATTGGTATAAATTAATTGTAATAAAGTATTTAAATAACTGTTCGGGAACTATTCGTGAATTTATTGCGAAAAGTGTTCACTAACGGTTTATGAACATTTTGCGAATATTGTTTGCTAACATTCACATACAGTTTATCAATGAATAAGCGTCTCTAGATTAGTAACGTAACATACAAAAATATTAACTGTACTTTCCTTAATTAATCATTCAGCGCGCATGACAGATATTATGATATCTTTAAGCCAAGTAATGTACAGTTATATATAAGCCAGATATGTTCAAAATATTTTATATATGTATATACAAAATAATTGTACAAATTATGTGCGAGTATCTTTTTTACGCGCTGAAGAAAGATATTCCTACGCGGGAAGCAAAACTTATTTTCGTTTCAAGGTGCTCCTGGAGATTCAGGGTTTATTTATAGGGGACCTCTGGCACAACTGTTTGCAATAAAAACAGAGAGGAAAGATGACCGGGTTAAAAAAGGACATGATAAAACGATAAGAACGCGGGATATGCCAACTTAAAGTTCATTGTCATGCGCGTTGCAGGCGCGTTATCATTCACAAAAAGAGTATATAAATACCTTGCGACGAGAAGGTTGCACAGGCGGCGAATTATGAAGAGATGCAGTAATTTCTCGAAGCACAACTCGAGTTCCTTCGCGAACAGAACCACTCATATTCCTTGGACTTGACATCCTGATGATGTTTTCACAATTTTGATAACAAATTCGATGATAATTTCATTAAATGCATTCGTCGTTGCACCTTTGACGACTGCAAACACGACACGAAATTAAATTCAATTGTAAAACGTTTTGTACACAAATCAAAGGACACTAATAATTGAATGTTAGCATTCCCACTGCATGTTACTCGACGTTATCAGTAAAAGACGCGGCTTCTTTCAAGCATATATTCGTTTTAAATGTAAAGTTTATAGCACCCGAGTTTAGTATAATATTAAAATAAATAAACGACTTTGTTTCGTAGAAATTCCTCGTACACGTTCCTCGATATCGCCTTCGATACAACGTTTAGCACGCAACCGCTTTCTTAACGGCCGTCTAGCATTTGACAACTTGAATATGAACGTAACAACCAATCACGATGCATTATTGCGTTTCTAGAAAGAACACTGTGGCGCTACGTTACTATTTTTTACTGTCGATAATATCGATTCCGACATTCATCCTCGTAACTTGAATTCCTTATGAAATTATGTATGTATATCGTAATGAATTATTTTTTATTCTGATTGGATTATTTTATCTTCTTTGGAGAAAAGATTGGTAAAAGATTAATGATCAGATTTACAAATATTTATTGTCAAATTTTTCATACAAATGTATATAAACGGCCGCGTTTTATTACAAGGCAGTGTAAATTCATCACGAAATTTTTTAAATCTTATTTTAATAATTAATAGTCTTATATCGTCATCCGTGCATTCATGCTTACGCGCGCGCTCTCTCTCTCTCTCTCTCCTTTTTTTTTATTATTAGTACTTCACAGTGTACATATACATAAAAATACATTCACCCGGCTTGATAACGCATTGTTATAATACGTTGCGTTAAAATAAAGCGTGATATATAAAAGAATACTATTCACAATATTTACCTCAGTACTAATAAAAACAGTTGTTTTTAAGGACACTTTTCGCAGGCACTAATATTGTTCAGAGATTTATGAAAATATTTGTTATTTTTAATTCTGCCTGTATTAATGTAATGTATTATCAAGATTCACTGCATGGATATAATCACAGAAGATAGCCATAGGCTTATGTGTAAGTTTACATTCCTCTACGTAAGGCACTTCTTTTAAACGTTTACAATAAAACAAATATATAATATTAAATAAATTCAGTATTACTATGGACACTACTACACAAAATGGTTAACACCTTGTACTGTAAGACTTACTATTACATGATAAATATCATTGTTCCAGGACAACGTACTTCAATGGGGAACACCGTATTTTTTACGATAATAGTACAGTATATCTTGTAATTATCGTGCACTCGTGCAATCCCGTATTTACTAGCACATTGTGTAACTTTACAAAAGGCAAAACTGTTCAAAGCAGTTAATATTTTCTGACATACATTAAAATCATTCACCAGCAGTTAGTAAACGAAATGCTGAATCAAAGACTATCAAGTATTTATAAATATTTAATTACGTATACGGATGTAACTGCGGTGGAGGACGCGACGGTGTGGTAGAATTTTTTTGACTACTAGATGGTGGAGTTAAAAGACCACTTTCATTTGGACTCTGTCTACCAGGTTCAGCATTAGAGTCAGATTCATTTGTATCAGTAGAAGGTATTTCATGTACTAATCGTTGCTGCGCCCTTTCTAGCATGTTTAAATCTACAACATGAGTCTGTATACGATGTGATTCATCCATTACAATATTAGGCACTGCTGCCTTAAGTCCAGATCCAGAATGAGACTCCACAGGTGTTATTGTAGACCTTAAAAGGCACTGAGAATGTTCTTCAGCAGCTGTCATTGCAAAGGGCGTAAGCCATTTGACACAGGGTGCAAGCTGCTCCCATGGAATGCGTGATACTCTTAAAGCACATTCCCTTCCTTGCGTATGATAGATAGCTGCTGCAGCTATGTGACTATAAGGGAACTTCAAACTTCCTTCATCCAATGTAGCTAAATCTAATAGTTGAGCCGCCTGAGAATATTGTAGACCTCCATATTGTGGGTAAATAAATGCATTTGGCCTTGACCAGTCGCCTGATTCAATTTGCATATAGATATTAAGCCAGCCAGGAGCAGTGACTGGGGATAAGTTCCACCCAAGGCCTTTTAAAATCACTAATTCTTTTCCTAAAATTTCTTCCTCTGTGCAAGCTCCATCAGTAACATATGCAAACTCTGCTATTTTGGGTGGATATATTTCTTCAACCTATAAAAAGATTATCGATTATTCATTTAAAACTAATAAATCGATAAGTAAAAAAAAAAAGAAAAACAAATACATATACAAACCTTGGCAGCTATGAAAAGGCATGTAATGCCTATTAATTGCAATTGATTTTTGGGTACATTTTGATGAATGGACAAATATCTGTCTATATAATCCATTGCAAGATAATAAGTCTCTCTATGTAGTTTGTATACTTCACAAACTTCAATCAACCAATCTAACAAAATTGCCCGCATTCTTGGTTGTAATGTTGGATGCCTTTGGAACATTTGTGGATTTCTTTGAGTAATAGTCTTTTGATCTCCCAAACACATAAGAGACCAAACTTGAGAACCATCAGCCCATGGAAATGATGGTAATGGGCTAGGTCTATTTGATGTATTATTAGAAGATGATGGTGTTAAAAAGCATGTTGCAGTTCTTAATTCAGACCATGTGGCTGGCTCTTGTTGCTCTTTCAATGGAGATACTTGATGTGGTGTACATGAATTTTCTAAAGAATGTACTGTATGACATGATTCTGTATATGACACATGTGATAAAGCTGGTATTTTACTAGGCGGATATACATTTTCTGAATCTTCAGAAATTTCTGTTGCCCGTCTTTTACGTTTTGAAGTTTGTGTTACTACTTTTCCTCCTTGTAAATAAGTCTGTGATTTTTTCCCATGTAAACTGAATAAGGGAAGAGAATGATTTGTTATTGACATTATTGCAGCAATATCAAATTATATTAAACAAGCTTAATGTCTTTGTAAAGTAGATAAAAATATTTTTAAAAGGTAACAAAGAATTACGTCCTAATTAACGTCTAACATTTTTTTCAAGTTAAATATATTCCATAGAAATATTACAATTTAATAAGGTCATTTACAAAGTATTCATGAATCTATAGAATAAAAATCCAAGCATATATTATTCATATAATATTGTTACAGCTTTTAAAAAGTAGATACTGATTAAAGAAGGTTATACATGCATATTTCTTAAATTTTTTTAAATCAGGAAGTACAGGAAATTGTATGGATCAATCTAATTTATATCAAACAAATTTTAAATGCTTCTGACTAAATACAGAAAGAATTGTATGAAATTTTGAGACCAAATGGAAACTCGTTCGCTCACCTCGTCTGTGGCATTTTGCTTCGGAATTGTCGACGTGTTCAAAAAATATTTCGAACGGGAACAGACCTTTTTAATATGGATATAAATTAGCCGGTATTTTAATTTAACGTCCGCTCAATTATTACAGTATACGCTCCGTAATTTAGCCAGGAAAATGCCGAAAAGTAAAAGAGCGCGCAAAGCTTACACGCACCCGATCGCCATAATGCACGTATACTTAGCTGCGTTTGATTCAATATTTTGTGTCATAACTTTTCATTTATAAAATGTTTCTTAGCACGAAAATTTCTTAAAGTCTTTTCTGATACAGTTTCAAGCTTCGAGATATCACAGAATAGTAATTCTTCAAAAAAATACGGGACGTGGAACTCGAAGCGCGGGAGACCAGCGCGCGAAACGATGACCAACCCCTGCTTGCAATATGCCACTGTCACGCCCTCTATATATATAACATAACCTCAAAGGGGGAAAAAAATCACAAATTTTCAGTAAACACTTTCTTTGAAGTCCTATCGTTTAATTTCAGTTCATAAACACTATTAATTTCATGTACGTGCATTGAATTTAAGGACTATACGAACGCAGTGCAACGTTGGCGTCCTCTGACAGACGCCCTGTTCATGTCACGCTTTTACAAGGTAAAATGTTGTAAAAGTTTGTAAAAAAACACTGTTCGTTAACCAGGAGAACTATATTTTACTCAAACAACGCGATACAGTCGTTCGAAAACATTAAATATTGTATACAAGCGATGCATAAATCCAAGGAGTCACAGCACCCACACGTTCTGCGCATCTGTTTCCCGCTCGATTTTACCACAACTTTTTCGAAGAATATGAGAAAATATTATCACACTTAAACACACTGTATACGCTTAAACTAAACAGGTACATAATCGTGCGGAAACGAGTATATACATATAAAATAACACTTTTGATTCACAAACTGAAGTTTACGTGTTGCTTTCGCGGGAACGCCAAACCTGTGGTCACCGGTCGTGTATTTGAGGCGCTGCTGTGCAATGGTATACATGATTCCTATTGGTCGCAACGAAGAGCACAGCTGGCGCTCAGCTGATCTGCTGTACACATACAAATGTGACTAATGCACGCATATACTTACGCCTTGACCACGCGGGAAATGTACGCGCGTAAATTGCTTTCCCTCTAAGGAGAAGTCATGAATCATAGAAATAAGAATAAAAGATATTTTGCCACGTATCACTTTTCCGTAGATATCATAAATCAATAATTTCGATATATATCTTTACATATACCACTTAATTGAATTTAAAATGTTTAATTTACATTTTGATGCGAAAAAAATTTTTTATTATAATAACATATCTATGAATTGACGCACACTATTAATATCAATGTAATCTAATTGTCTATTTGAATGTAGCAATATGATCGCAGACGATATAGCACAGAAGATAGAGCATAGATTTAACATTTTATAAAATTTTGTACAACTGAAATACCGATCTCATAAAAAATTAGTTGTTTTGCGCCATCTACGATTTAGAATAGTTATATCTGAGATTATATTCAGCCACAAACGAAATACAAAATAGATCTATCATCCAATGGATTTTTTGTCTTACATGTCTGGGACTTCAAGGCCCCTTTACCATGTTGATCATTTCCAACATTACCAATTCAACACAGAGTATGATTACAACTTTACTAGCGGTTGATAGCCTTTTTCCAGGTGCTTATCTATTCTATGTCCCTCTAAAATTGAAAATAAAATTTCTGTCTAAAAGAAAGAAAAAAATTCTAATGATATGATATTAACTGTAGAACATTGATTAAATTATTAGTCTATTTCTGTAAGTATGTAATATTCAATTTTCCGTATCTCTTCTGTATTTATGATCATACTTAATTTTAATTCTAGCCATTATTAGTCCCGTTATCTTGTTTCTGTTGAATTGAAAATGATCCAGAAATAATAAGTGCGATAGAATGATAAATATGATTATTATTTTTTGTCTGGTTCTTTTTTATCAACTGAGTATTATAATTTCTAGTAACAACAGCAACTAATGTATGGCGCTCTATTTGCATGTGTAATCCTACGAATCAGTGAGTTGTCTACTCTAAACATTTTCATTGTCGTACTTATATTTTTATATATTTTTCATTAATTTTATGATATATGAAGGAATAATTAAAATATATTTTATACTACAATTAAACATAACAAATCTATATTTTTGATTTTTTAATCATTCAATAATAAGTATTTTTAAATATTTCAATTTATTACAATTCTAAATAGCTATAACTTTGTAGTGTTCTCGAAATAAGATAGAATTAATAACAAATTTATCTATATTTAAAATAATATCTTATTATTGGCCATATGTTTTCTCTCTCTTTTTTCGGCTATCTCTCTCTTTTCTATTGATATATTAATATATAACATTAAAATTATACATTTAGGCATGGGTTCCATGTTCATAGAATCCGACACTGCGCTTGGTAGAGAATGTTGATAATCAGTTGGCAATCCTCCGTGATAGTGTCATCGTACCATGGGGTACTTGACCGAGGTAGACAGCCCTGGTTTTCTGGAAATCGTCAGTGGTCCGGTGCCATTAAACACGTTATATGTGTATTGCAATTTGATCCCGTAGCGCTGGGTCAGAAAGTAAGTTATACGAATTCCTGGGCATTCGGGTCTCTGCAGGTGGGTCACCAGGGTTTCTTTTTACATTCGGTCTCTTCGGTGTCGTAGCAATTCCTTCTCCGTTTCGTCGTTTGCATAACATCTAAGACCTGTCATACTGAACGTTTCAGAAAGATAATCTTTGCTAATCTTGTTTCGCTAACTTTAGTTACGTATGTAACTAAAATTTCCCTACTTCATCTGTTCGTTTCTTTCGTTTTATGATCGACTAGTCTTCAAACTCAATATCGAGACAAAAATTTCATTTATATTTCGCCAACAACTACTTTTTTTAATCTGAAGTTTTTTTTATTATGTAGTTTATTCAATCAAAAAATTATAATAATTACTTTTATAGGACGTAAATGTACGTGAGCTTTTAAAAGGTGATGCAGGGCATAATGCCAGTTAAAACAAAATCTCGTGTTCCTGAAAATATGGGTATCACAGGTGGTTTGGTAGATGCCAGAGATAAGCAAGTGTTAAAGGAAGCAGTAGAAGCAGTTGTTAACAGCTTTGCTAAGCATACTCAAGGCTATGGAAGAGGTATTACTATTTTTTTTTTTATTCAATATTAAATTTGTTATATATTATTTCATTTTTTCTTATAGTAAATGTGGTAGAAGCTTTGCAAGAGTTTTGGCAAATGAAACAAAGTAGAGGAACAGAGCTAAGAAACGGAGCATTAGTTATTTATGAATCTGTACCTGGTACCAGTCCACCTTATGTATGTTATGTTACTCTCCCTGGCGGATCTTGCTTTGGTAGTTTTCAAAATTGCCCCACTAAAGCTGAAGCTCGTAGATCAGCAGCAAAAATTGCTTTAATGAATTCTGTTTTCAATGAACATCCAGCACGTAAGATAACAGATGATTTCATAGAGAAAGCTGTTGCAGAAGCAAGAGCTAGCTTTGCTAAGCCATCTGCAACTTCCAACAGTGTTGGCAATCAAACACAGGTATGCTCTTAATTTTGTTCTTTGAGTATATCTATTATTTATGGGAATTATATTAAATGAACTGTTTAATTTTTAGGGAAATGGAGATGAGAAAGAAGATCCAAATACAGGTATAGGTGCATTTCGTTTTATGTTGGAATGCAACCGTGGGAGAACAATGTTAGAATTTCAAGAATTAATGACGGTCTTCCAATTACTTCATTGGAATGGGTCTTTGAAAGCAATGAGAGAAAGGCAATGTAGCAGACAAGAAGTAGTTGCTCATTACAGTCACCGAGCTTTAGATGATGATATGCGTAGTCAAATGGCGCTAGATTGGGTAGCAAGAGAACATGAAAGCGGTGGCGGCGTTGTTGCTATGGAGTTGGCATTGGCTGAAAGAGAACTTGAAGCAGCACGTTTAGCTGGAAGAGAACTTAGATTTCCTAAAGAAAAAAAGGATATATTAATGCTTGCACATGCTCAAGTATGCCCTCAGTGATTTTTACAAAGTGATCGTGCAATTTACATGCAAAAAGAGATACGACGCTGGTTTTGCAAAAGCTGGTATTAGGGGAATATTTTTAATGACATACAATGTCACTATATTGTGAAGTGCTTTATTGTTGTCTAGCATTGAGACACATAATCAATTCCGTCCTTTTTATGAAGTATTTTTGGTGATAATAGAATATTAATGGAATTATAAACTTAATGTATTTTTAAGAATACCTTAAACGCGTGACTACTATTTTAAACTGCGATAAAAAAACACGTGCAGGACAAACCATTCAAATCAAAATTAATTATTAATTGTATATAGATATATTTCGATACAAAATCTTGTCTTCCGTTACAATCTTATGTCTCTTTCGCCTCATAATCATAGTATTACATATGTTCGACATATAGGGAGAATGCTTGGTGATGTATTGCTTGCCTGAGGAATATAAAAGAAATATGAATGGTTTTTTATCAAAACATCAATTCATATGTTTATCATTTATGAAATCATCATTCTATGTTATACATTTACATGATATTTACAAAACGGGCAGATTTGCTGTACTTAAGTAGTTATATACATGATATAAATTGTTTTAAAAATATTTTATTACTATTTTTAGATATCGATAAATACATGTTTTAATAAAATCTCATAATTTTAAGCACATGTGTTGTTTAACCCTAATATCAAGGTTGATTAGTAACTTCAGTGACAGCTTCTTTCAAGGATAATTTTGTGCTTTCGGCTTCTGCTTCTTCTTCTTGCATTGGATGAGATAATACCTTGTCTATAATTCCAAATTCCTTTGCCTCAGTAGGACTCATGAAATTATCTCTTTCCATACAACGTTCTATAAAATTATAATGTACTAAAAACATTTAATTAACATGATTTTACAGATTCACATACCTATTTTTTCCAGGTCTAAGCCTGTATGCTTGACATATAAATGATTGATTTGCTTTTTAAGCTTCAATATTTCTAGGGCTTGTATTTGTATATCAGTAGCTTGGCCAGACACACCTCCTGATGGCTGATGTGTCATAATTCTTGCATTAGGCAATGAATGACGCATACCCTTTGTTCCTGCAGCTAATAATAAACTTGCCATTGAACATGCTTGTCCTACACACCATGTTGCAACAGGAGGTAAAACATATTGCATAGTATCATAAATACCAAGCCCAGCTGTTACACTTCCACCAGGTGAATTAATATACATATGAATTGGATTTTTACTATTTTCTGATTGAAGAAATAAGAGTTGAGCTATCACTACAGAGGACACATTATCTGTAATCTATAAAATGATATAATTTCTTTTATTTTTTCTTAAAAAAATTAATGAGAAATCATAAATTCTAGAAGAGTTTAAATGTAAATGGATTAGAAGGTACAAGGTACACACCGGGCCCATTAAACAAATAATCCTTTCTTTTAAGAGACGTGAGTAAATATCATATGCACGTTCTCCTCTTCCACTCTGTTCTACGACTACAGGTATAAAATTTAGGTACCTACTGCATACTTTCTGACCAGACCCCTGCAAATTTAGAAATATTCAGCCTTAATTATGAAAATGTAATAGTACTACTAGACCAAATTTTTGAAAATTTAAAAACAAAAAATTAAATATTGTCATACTAAAATACTTACAAAAATTTGTAGTAAATTATTTACTTTTTTTAACAACATTTTGATAATTTCAGGTTTATTATTTTCATTAAATTCGGATATATATTACTGCAAACAATATTTTACATAACAAACTAATAAGCAGTCTGAGAGATCTTTGTTAAGAAACTAAAGAATAAAACATAACCTAAATAAAAAATTTGTTATTACGATTGATTAAACGACATGAAAAAAGTCTCTTCATTAATACAGTTGCATCATTTGTATCACGGTTAAAATAAGATAATCCAAATACTTCATTTTTCATACTATTGGTTTTGGCTGTTGTAGGTTATATTTTATTTCTTTTAATTTAACTTTCTTTATATAAGGAAATATTTAATATATTTCATTTTTTATCTTCAAGTCTCTATTCGAACAAACCAGTTAATCCAGTTACAAAGAATTTTTTTATAAAATGGCTGTCGAAACTAACTTGTCCTAAGTGCAACGTAAACAGGGCATTTCTTTATACAGTGTGTTTTATTCATTTGCATTATGACAAGTATCGTAGAATTGATTAACTGATTGCGCATAAAATATTACGTTTATAATATACGATTAAAATAACTTTATATATATATATTATATAATTAATTAAAAACATGTGAACGGTCTTTAATGTTTTTGTTATACACACGGTCGTATATAATTGTGGTTATGTAACGTTAAGTTTGTTGTGTGCATTAATGTAGCCAGTTTAACTAAGGAGAGTACAGCAGAAAAGCGAAGTTTAACATTTAAATAATTTATGAATTATTGCAAATTTCTATTTGTAATATTGTCATCATATGACAGTTTCATTGAAACCCATTGGTTAGTAAAATCGATTTTACTTTATTTCAGTTAAGGTTAACTCTATGTTTGAACATAGAAATCTTATCTTTTTAAATTACGAAATTTATATGTACATGCAAAAATATTTTTACAGAGCAACAATGAATATATATTCATTATTCAGGACTACCTGTCAAACAATAAAATTTATGGCTCCAAAACTATCATCAATGGAACCATTCACAAAAATTATACATCGTAATATGCATCATATATGTGATAAACAATATTCAAATAATTTGTCAAATATGTATATGAACAAAATTAGTTCAATATTACTGCAACCATCACTACCAATGTATAATATCATATGTGGTTTGAAAATGAAGACTATATTAAAACGAAGGTGTAAACATTGCCTATTAATGTGGAGAAATGATAGGGCATACATAAAATGTAAGGTAAAACCAAAGCATAATCAAGTGGAAAGGAAGAAAAAGGAATATAAAACATGGATATTGACACATGCTTCACAAAGTAAAGTAAGGGAATGGTAGATTATTATATACAAAAGGTAACATTTGAATTGTACTTTAAAATAAAATCATTTTAAGATAAAAATTCATATCTATTTAATTTATATTTCTCATGACAATAAATTTCTCATCGTTATGTGTTTTATATATGATACTGTACATTAATAATATGCAAGTATAATTTTATTTAATTGCCTATATAGTATTTATATTATATTATTTTGAAAATTGTACTTAGCATCTGTACACACTAGATGCTGAAAAAAATAATATTGTTACTTTTTATTCGTTTTTGTATTGTATTATGTTCATTGGTAAAAACTATATCTTACTATAAGGGGGACAGGTAAAAGTACAGATATTACGTAATGTTGTATATGGATGATATTTATTATAATAGCTTGCAAAACCTCTAGGCATTGTGGGCACAAAGGGAAGAATAGTGGAATAACAAACCTGTTAACATATTACTTTACTATTGGAAAATATTTTATAATTATAAGTATATATTTTTAAAAAAACATACCGTATTAGAATTAGTAGGAAAGGTTGGTAAAATTAGTTGACAACCTGTTAATGGTTTACTTGAAGGTGAAGGTGCAGTTTGCATTTTATTATAGTATTATTATAGTATTTATTAGAGTATAATATTAATAATATTATTATGGTATTAATAATATATATAAGTATTAATTTTATTAAATACCCTGTTTATAACAGGCTATTTTAATATTAGAATTTTTTTGATTAATTTTACGTATGATTTTAACAAGTATCCCAAAGTATACACAAAATCAGAAAATTGATCGTCGTGTTTTATCATTGTCATTTGTTTTGAGTTTCATTTTTTATTTAAAATCTGAACTATACAGTCTGTGCTGAATATCATTGTATGATAGATTGTACATAAACAGATTACAATAAAAAAAAAGTAGACACAAATTTTCGTTTTCGACAATATTTTATTATAATATGTATTTTATTTTGTATAATTACATTCATTTTAATTGAAATTAAAAATAAAAAGTTGTCAAAGAAGATATTTTGGTAAGGGAAAAGTAAAGATTATCATGTTTGAATTATTAACATTGATTTCATCCCATTTATCTAGTATTTTAGTGTTCGCGATTTCTCTCCATTTGTCTGTATGTACAGAAGAGATTCCACCTGACCAAGCCTGGAAATGTTTTAACATTTTATACAATTTTATCTTTTCATAATTAAAAAAAGGTGTAGAAAGAATATATCATTAGATAAGATTTTGATAGAAACCTTTTCACAATGTAGTGCCCATGCGTAAATCATTTTGTTTTCCATTTTTTTGCATACTTTCTGTAATTTTTTCAAAATCTTTATTGCGTTACTTTTCTGCGATTTTATCATCCAATAATAAGCTTTCAGCAACATATATCTATAGTAATACCAAATATTTCACTTCAATATTATAATTCAGTCATTTAGAATTGAAGCTGTTAATAAATATTAAAGTATACCTGGGAATTACGATTTCAACAATTTTGCTCATTTTCTTTGTATCTTTAAATATGCTTTTAATCTCCATCATAGTAATAGCTGCATCAGCATTTCGACTATTTAGTTTATGCACTATGCAGATGATGCTTTAATAAATTCCCAAGAATTTTGCAATAAATGCTTTTAAACTTTGAAGTAAAAAGATATATACCATAAAGAATTAGTAGGCCTTCGAGCTTTTTTAAAGCAGTAATTGTTGCTGCAACTATATGTTCATCCATTATGTTAATGCTCTCCACGTTTCTACCGCTCCATACCTTCGCAGCTTCCCATTCTTCAGTTCTAATACACCTTAGAGACAAATGTTACCAATTTTTGTTTTGATGTTAATGATATATTTTTCAGTTTTCTATAAAAATTAAGACGAAAATTTATGAGTAGATACCATAGCCACATTGACGTGAAATATCGTCTTTCTGCTTCTGGATCATGTAAACTGATCATTTGTTCGCCTTCCTGAAGAAAGTACTGTTCACAAGCTTGGAAAGGGAGAATCGTTAATCCAGTATCTAAATGGACGTCAGCGCAAAGTGCATAATACCAAGTACGTCCAGATTTGTCAAAATTATGATGAGATATAAACTCTATAATTATATAGAATATTTACGAAATTTTTCAAAGGTATCAACAATTATAATTAGGTAGTTTATTACCTAATTCCCTTAATTGAGTAACTACTTCCGGATGTCGGCAAGAGATCATCAGCAAATGAATTAATCGTGGTAGTACCACCAGCTTCAAGAATGTGGATCCGATCGCACTGGCCATCCTACTACAATTAAAACCGATTTGAATAGCTTTTGAGATCTGTCCCCTTATCCAGCGAGAAAAAAATATTCCTGTGTAAAGTTGGACGATCACATTCAGTTCTTGAGCTTCAAGTGTTTCTCTGCTTTCGTTGCAAATATTGATAGCTCTTTGTTCCAAATATGGAACTATATATCTGTAGAATAGTATAAAAGTTTCGTCATAATATCGAATGTTCGATCATAATCTGAAAATTCTCACCTGTCTTGATACATATGTGCTGTGATTAGCATGTTGGTGAACGATGTACAGAGAATGTATAAATCTTTGTTAGATTCCAAAGCTGCGTTCAAACCCCACATTGCTGCTAAGCGAGCGTGTTTCTTCATCCCTTTAAACTATATAAAACAGTATAAATGTGTTTTACGTTCACATAATTTCAATTCAATCAATTACCCTGAAGAGTTCGAACATTTGCGCCAAGCATTCTGATAATTGTTTAGTATAATCCACATTGTCTCTTTCGAGACTGTTTAGCAGCTCTGTCTTCTTGGGACATATCAATTTTATTTTTAAGTTCATCAATTGCGTGAGCGAGCTCAGGTCGATCATCATTTCTAGCTTTGGAAATCTGTATCCTAAATTTTTCAATGCCATTTTGAGAGATCCTTCGGCCTCGAAAATGGAACCGCTTTCAAGAAAACATTGTCCTTGAAGAGTCTGTATCTTCGCAGTGAGATAGGGTAAAAGAACTATTTCGTCTTCGTTCGATTCGAATAGCTTCAAGTATTAGATGTATTGGATTACATAAATATTAAACTTTTAGAACAGAAATTTGTATACCTTCACTAGGACAATTTCGCTTTCTGATAGAAGCTTTCGAGCTTGAGGTATATTACAATTCATCAAGCAAATTTCTGCAAATTCTAGAAGAGCAGTGAGCGTCTTTTCAATATTCCCTGAAATGTTATGTTTTAATCACGTTATGTTTAATCGTAATTACTAATTGGACGAGTTATGATTAAGAACAATACTTACCAATGCCACGACAGTGGTCGAGTATTTGAGTATAGACTGTCATCAGTATCAGTTCACACAGGCAGTTAGAAAAATCTACATCTGAAAACGTTACCGTCGGTTTCCTTTCCACACGTCGAAATAGGTTCAGGCAAGAAAGTAATTCCTTTTTCTCTATTACTTAATGTTATTATCAGTGTTACTCGAGAAGAAATTATCGAAAGTTAATAGGGTTTTTCAAAACTATTCAATTTACTTTTTTTGTCTTCCTTGTTAACAGCCTCATCGTTATAATCCAGTTCAAACATTTCATCGATGTCTGTCATTTTTGTCTTTCTATCTTCTTTGTTTGATGTTTTCCCCAATAATTTTGCGAATTGACCCTCTCCGCAAGAAACACAACGTCTTGTATAGTGTTGCAAATATTTCAATGCCTGGTTGTGCAATTCTATCTTCTGATTTTCCGTAAGCAATCTTCATGAATATTTTATTAATATTATGTGATTGTTTTTTTAATATTAATAATTATCTTGTAATTAATTAAATTAGTACTGATAAGTGGTGTTACGAAACATTGACATCTTAAATCTTATCAAGCCGCAGGAAGCATATCTTGGCAAATCTACCAGTTCATCTAAGAAAATACATCTCTGCAGTAGTCAAGTCAAGTCATCAAGTCAATTTACATATATGTGTAACTTTATACATTTCCCTTAACTGCTTTCGTTTTTGATTGCAATTAATACCTGGAATAGTGAGACCAATGCACTTGCAGAATACGTCCATCTCTGAATTAGGATTTCGCATATTTTTTATAAATACTATAGGGCCCGCATTTTTGGAGAAGTCCCCAATTGCACAGCCGAAGACTCGTATTTCAAAGAGTTTCGTAACAGCTAATAAGTCGTACAGTTCTAGATGGTCAGGTAAACATTATCATATCGTAAATAATAAACGTGTTTTACCAAGTCCGATTTCTCTTTTAGCAGTGATGGACATTAAACTTTCTAGCATATGTCTATTCACCGTTTCCCCGATCACTGAAGCACATTTCAAGAGAAGTTGATCAAGAGGTGTCAACGAATCGAAAAGCTTCAATATCATAGCTAACGTAACAAGATATTTCATGTTATTTATCAATATGATATTATTCTGGTGGATTAGTATTTCTTTTTACCATCCATCGTAATTTCAGGATCCACGTCTTCATACATGAAGTTCTCAGCAATGTTACAAATCGCGATTATGGTTTCCTCATTGTCGATACTCAAATGTGGTTTCTTTAGAGTTATCATGTCTTCCTCCAACAACGATATCATGCTGTCCTGAAGTAAAGTATTGTTATCATCTCATGTAAAAGATTGGTAAGAACGTACTTTGAAGCTCGCTCTGTACATCTGCCATTTGTCTTTTCGGTAATCAGGACTAGATCCGTCTCTTTCCATTACGGTTGGAATAAATCTGATTTTAAATTCCGCGGGATTAGTACTTATTCATAACATTTGTATAAGTATATGTTTTCGAGTAAACCTTTCCAACATAGATACAGGAGGTAACACATAGCCCTTTATATTTGCTTCCCTTTTCGTTATATTTACTATCTCTAAACCACCGACTTGGAGAAGACTCACTAAATAACTCTCGATCCAGCCAGGATTCCCGAAGCTTCTTTCTTGTATCAGTCTTTAGAAAAATTGAGACAAGATCAGTGACAGAATTTTGTCAAATCTGCAAGTTTATTCAATTTACTTTTCCAATTCTGCAGGTAAACCATTTACATTAAGTATCTGACACGCTAAGCCAGCATGGTACCACTTGTCTATCCCGATCAATTCAATTACCTTTTAACGAACAATTCAAGTCTTCATTGTTATTCGATTCATATTCGAAAGAAGCAAATAAATAAGTACCTTCGCTCTGTGCAAAAAATTTAAATATAACGGAAAGTCTGTGTTCAATTTCCGACCAATAGTCAGTGCAAAGAATATTTTGTCTCTTTTTGTAAGGACATCGAAGATTTCCAAAGACTCCCGATCGACATATTCCGCATCATCGATGATCACCACCCACAATTCTTCGAAGCAGCCTTTCATTAATTTCAATAGGAACTTTCTTAAAAGCTTTTGTTTGTCCATATCAGTGAGAGCGTTATAACGATGAGTGATAGAGAAATGCACATTGAAGGGTTGATTAAAAACACACAGGTAGTACGTGTGCTTCATTTTGCCCAGTCGTAAAAGCAGTTTGTCTTCGCGCTCTTTTCGCGTAGAAGTGCGGGTGAAACCAAGAGGCATTGAAAATAATAAATGTACCAAGTTGTACGGGGCCTACTCTAAGAGATAAATCACATTTCTTTGCCGTTTACATTTAAATTTCACTCTGTTTCATATTAAAAATAACTTATCGATGAAATGTTAATACTGATGATTATTGATTAAATTCTAAAATTTTATAGCAATTGAAAAGGTCAACCTTGTTATCCCCTGCTTGTAAAGAAATGTAATTATAGCGTGTTTCCATTGGAATGTTTTGCGTAAATTCATCTAATAACCTTGTCTTTCCTATTCGTGGGTCGCCTCTTTGTGGATACGATGGTTGAAAAATGTATATTATTCGATAGAATGTTTTAACTATAATGGCGAAATAATAAGGATAAGTACTTTATGATAAGTGTATTATATTTTGGTCGTGCGCCACGGTTTTCTTTAGTCTTCTTGGAATATTCTAAGAGTCTCATTAGCATCCTTCTAAAAATTTTAAGTTCCTCGGTTCGACCAAGTAAAGGATACTTACTGAAAACTATGTCTGATACAATGTACCTAATGAATTAGACATGAATTCAATAATCTTGTTCCCAGAATGTTAATATAAAATAAATGTTAATACCAGGAATAGAATTACTTTGGTTGTTCCTGAAATTCATATATCGGTCCGATATTGGTGATTCCTTTTAAGTATCTTGGTTCTTGTAAAATGAAATGCCTCGCCTCTAAGTGAGAATTGAGGAAACTTTCTCGATCGCAGACCACCTAGCAATTCTTTGTTTTTCCTTTTCCTTCGGTGAATTAATATTTGGTTATACACTAACTCTTACCTTGTCTCTATACGCCACCATAAGCCTCGCAGCCTTGTTCACTGATATTCCAATCACGGTGTATTCTCTCCGTAAAATGTGCCCTACGACTCCACAGTATGTCACTCCCGTTGTCACGCCTACCGTTACAGATTTCACATTTTCTATCGCTATGAGATTCGATCGTAACTTCGACGCGCATCTTAAACCGATTTGCGATTCTAGTTCATGTTTGTCGCCTCGTAAACCGAACACACAAAGGAACATTAAGTCCTTGTCGAAGAGGGACGTCTTGTTCACGCATCCGTGCATCCCATCGACGATCCTTCAGTCGAAAAGTCGTAGGAAGATTGATCGATAAAATAGATCACAGCCCGACGAGAAGGAAATAGGCTTACTTGCACACTAGTTTATAAGCAAAGTTCACTAAGGCAATTAATTGTTTTTTGCCTATGTTGGAAGTGACTACATTGATAAAGAGAATCACCACCTGTCTCATTTCGGTCAGATATTCCAATGGTTCGTCCATTTCGGTAGACCGAATGACTGGTCTCAGCATGTAGCTTCGTAAAGCTTCTTTCAAACAAGCTTGTGCTGCCTTTATAACTTTAGGCCGTACTAAAAACATTATATTTTTAAGCACCGAATTTTTTTTAGAAATATGACAGTCTGTTCTGCTTACAGCTGTAATCGACTTGCTTAAATTTTCCACTCTCGTAAGTCGTACCAGTTATATTCATCATCACCATCTTAGACTCAGGATCCATTCTGGGAATTATCATCGAATCATAAAAATCCGGCTCATATTCGTTGTCTTCGTCTATGTGAAGTATGAAAGATATATTCTTTTGATTTCATAAAACTTTTACGAAAGACTTGGACGACAAAGATATATTTGAATTTTAACACTACCATCTGTACTGGTGATTGATTCGTCAACTTTAGCTTGATACCACATGCTCGTGCAAGATATAATAAGTGTGTGTATACCATCTGGAAGCGTTTCATGGACATATTCGTTTGGATTAGCCCACTGCCAGCTACTAGGAGCCACTAGGATATCGCCTCCTCTAATAAAATTAATATAAAAATTATAAATCACTAACGTAAGTTTTCTCTGATTACCGGCAAAGGCCTTCGGCGAATTTCACATCCCACACTGGTGTACCGGTGATAATATAGTGTGACATGGATTCGGGATCTCCGATAGATGTGAAGTATGTCTTTCCAGAAGCAATAGCTAATTTTACTATAAAAAATATTAGAAACCTGTTGTAAATTGCGAATGCTCGAATGTTTAATAATAATAATAATCAGAGATATCTTCTTCTCGTTGAACAAACCCTTAAGAGTCACTCCAACTTCAGTATCATAGGACCCAAAATGTTTCTGAATGATGCAAGCAGTTTGCATCGCTGCTATGGCCAAGTCTCGCATCATCATTCCTTCATGGAGCTTCCACATCACGATAAACGCATCTCCAGAAAATTTCAATACGTCACCATTGTGGGAAAGTATTTCTTGTACCATAGCACCGATGTAACTGTTCAAGGTTTCTGTCAGTTTCGAAGGTCCGCCTTTTCCGGTTTTAGTGTATTTCTCAGCGAGATCTGTAAAACCTTTATCAGGAATATCTTTACGTTATTAACTGCTTGATTATTAATGCAAATTTTATATTCATGTGTTTCTGCAAATTTTTTTTTATTTAGAATGGAATCGTCTTCGTGTTATACCTGATATGTCACCAAGCATTAAAGTAGTGTAATACATTCTGGTATTATAATCGTCATAGTGATCCAGAATTTCATCCGGACACATCGAAGCGAATATTTTCGTGTGATGCTCGAGTCTTAATTGCTCCGATTTTAACTCATTCTCCTCGGAATGGTCCACGAATTTCCTTTTTAGCGTGAACACTTGGATATATGTTAATTACTTTTTAGACTTTATTAAAATAATTATTTAATAATATTAAATTCTAATTACATTAACTTACCATCTATGTTTAGTTTTTTACGAATTTCTCTTCGCGCAATTCTAGCAGGATTGTACACATTTTGGTTATTCATATTTTACCCCTAACAAAATGTATTCTGATTTAATTTATTATTTATAGGTTTGATTTATTAGAAGAAATAACGTTACCCTAAGCGATCTTCTTTTATTGGGCAACTTCAGTACAGTCACAGATTTATATTATATTCTCCATCATTACTTTGATTCTTTAAATTTATGTCCTCATTTATCAAAGTGGCTGCTATATCGTAATAGACTCGCCTATTACAAGGTTTAAGAGATATAATGCTACTTTGTGTTCTTTCATAAGTGTATTTATTCAATTCAATGCCAGGTCTATAATCAAAGTCTCGGAGTAGGGGGTCAGCGTTTAACAATGAATACACTTCCCGTGACAATAGACAATATGTGTTTATTTAATAGTCTCGCTATATAGATACTTAATATGACTTGTCGTTCTAACAGATCGCTGCCTACAACGTGACGGCCGAATTTTATTGTGCCTGGCCCTACTAGTTCCTTATTGTGCTTGAATCTATGATGGGTCGACGTCATTTTTGGTTTACTTAATTACATCTTTCTCTCTTTCTTTCTCTCTCTCTCTCTATTTTTCTTTCTTTCCCTTTCTCTCTTTCTTTTTCTCTCCCTTTCTCTCTCTCTTTCTCTCTCTCTCTCTCTCTCTCTCTCTCTTTCGTTCATTCCTCACACCGTCGGCTGCCAACTGACAAATTGGATTATACTCGCTATTTCTTTAAGACGTCGCGACACACGAAATCGAGTTTCACGAATGTAGGAATTCCTTTTTGCGTGATCTCTAAGAAATTAATTACTTCTTCCCTATTGATCTGTTTCTTTTTCTCCGTGTTTCTTTTTTTTTTCATGCTGTTTTCACGCAACACATATTAATGTCTGTAACATGATCGATGAACACATTAGTCTTACGTTGTGTGTATGACGTAGTTATCTCTTTGAAAATGTAGATTTATCATTTTTACAAGTGATACGTACACGTAAAACGAATTAGCAATATCATTACATGTATATAGTTTTGTAAACGATTACCATTAATCAGCAACTACACTGCTTACTCGTGAAAGATAAAGAAAGGAAATTATATGTACAGATTTCTTCGCAATCGATATGTCGACTTCGATGCCGTTCATCTATTGAAATACCAAAAGGACAATGTTACAAAATTTCACCAACTGCAAATCTGTGTTGTGTGTGTAGTTACCGGTTAATCGGTATTTTCCCTAAATAATACAGGAATTATTGGGAAATGAACGCTGCAACAACCGCAAAAAGTTTTCTTAGTCGATTTTTCCCACGATGTATTATGTTTGCGTTTCGTTTTTATACGTGACACTGCTTGAAACGTTAGTCAAGGGACCTCGATCTAATCGAGTGTCGCGATATTATCTCATCTTGAATGCGTTACATCGATTAAACGCGCATGCGATTAATTGTACATCGACGGCGGATACATTAAAAAAAATGTCTTTTTTTTTTGTTCTTTACGTTTCCCTAGTACAGCGACGAATCCATGTAAATTCATGCGCTGTTTGCCCGTTACTTCATTCTTTTCTAATATTCTTTTCTTTCTTTTTTTTTTTTTTTTATTGGAAAAATCCTCTTCGTCTGCGATGGAGACTCGGGAGATTCAACGAAAACAACGTATACGTGCCCACCCGCGGTAACATATATGTTTGTATATATTAATAGTCATATTTATATATGGTGCTTCGATCTTTGATATAATGTAGACGCCGGTTCGCATAGGCAAGTATACGCGAGTCCTTTGAAACCAGCTTACGAAAAGCTATACCGAAAAATGTCTTCAGTTTTTCATATCCTTCAGGAAAACCTTCGAATTCTCGTTCTTAATAGATATACTAATTGTAAATTGTTTGAACTTTGGTTAGATGGTTCGTGTAAAAGCGTTTTGAGGCATGAACATGTAGAATTTCCTTGCCTATGCTTTATCATTTTTTGGTCGCTTTACGTTATTCAGTGCCTTTATAGTGTTTTAGAATGTGCAAAAAACGACGTCTCGCACGCAGAACGAAGGCTAACGGGCCATGACACCTTTTTGAAGCGGTGTAACGAAGAAATTCAGACAGACGGGAACGCGCGCAAGAGATTTTTCATTCCACATTTTACACTGTTTTTTTTTTCTTTTTTCTTGCTTTTTACGACAAACGTGACTCGTTATATAATGGCACACAGCATGGCAGTTGCAACAATGTACTTCAATAAACGGTTTACTTTTTTTCTTCTTTTTTTTTTAAATAACTTATATTAGCTTACTCGATAAACTTATTCTAGCCTCGTCGTTTTTCTCTTATCCCAGGGCGATCCGTGTCGATCGAGGACTCCTATCACGTGCTCGAGAGAAACAAACGCAGAAAGAAATGGCACTACGAAAGGATCCCTCGATCCTTGTCGATCATCGGTTCGCTCGGTTAATTAAGCGTCGTATAGACTAGGCTTAACACGACTCGTCTCGTTCTCACCGGTGTTTCTCGCTCGTTTCACTCGTCTCTCATGTGTTTATTTCACACTCACGCATTATTATCGTTCTCTTAGGTATGTACACACGGTCGAAAATCGTATTGCGTGTTTTAATTAATGATCGACCTCGAACGTTAATCGGCGTTCGATACTCGATTCCCTTCACCGTTTCGCTGCATCGCCGTAGTTTTCTTTTTACTTCATTTTCGTTTCCCCTTTCCCTCTCATTTTACTTCTCGCATCCTCTCTGTCGCTGATATCAGCTGTTTTTCGCTTAACGATTAAACACGTAGAAATTGGAGAATAAAAAAAGGGGGCGGGAGGAGCGACGCCGTCGCAGCGTTGTTTCCCGTGAGATTCGCGGCCTGCATTTATTTTTCTGATAATTATTTTGCCAATTGCGCAACCCACTGGCAAGGAAATCGATCGAAATTTTTTTATCGGTGAAATTTTTAATAGATATATGGCCGCGATTCCAACGCGAGTCGATTACGCCGCAACGACTTTCCTTACGCAATATTCACATAAAAACGTTTTTTCATCGTAGATATTAAACAGTCGAGTCGAAAAATAATATCGAGACGGCCTCGTTCACGTGCTCACACGATACTCGCTCTCCTCGCGTTGCATTTTCGCTCGTGTTCCACGGAACAGTCTCAGCTTAGGATCACTCGAGTGCGGCACGAACGATTCAAGCTGCAGGGCTGGTAGGTAGCCCTGCTCGCTCAGATTCTTGTCCTATAGCAATTCCTCGCTGGGCAATCTGTCGATCCGTTACTTGGTTTCAAGAAACCCTTAAGTTTCTATTTCCTACTTTTAGAAACATAGATTTTAATGTAGTTAATTATGAGTTCTAAAGATTCGTATCGCCTAACGAGCTATCAAGTTGTATGATTTCGAAGTTTGGCCATCTTTCATTCAAGTAGAGTATACGTTTCTAAGAATAATCTAAAAGGAATTATTAAATTTGTCCTAGCGTTTCCAAATAAAGGGTTAGTTTCATCTTGTTACTGATTTCTCTTTCAAGTTCGAAGATGGGAGAAAGTAACGAAACTCGCTCTTCCTAGTATTCGTATTTGAAGCCGCATTTCGTTATACGTCGTTTTTAAAGAGATTTTAATAGCGTTAATCGTATTATTAGCGAGAATCCCGACGCACTGGTCGAGAAATTCGTCACATTCGTCAGTCGTTCTTTTTATATCTTTCGTTAAATACTCAATGTATCTCGGAGGACAGACTATTTTTAAATAGAACGTTGTAATATCGAAGCTTTTCGCCGCATTCGCCTGTTCATTTATTCGTTAAACAGTCTTAAAATTCAAGATAATTAATCAATTATTAAAGCGGGATTACATCCTACGGTTACAAACTTTTTTAAAATCTCTAATAAAGACGATACGATGATAAATGTCAAAGTGATTGTTTTATTACTGATTGAAGTGATTAGTTTAATATTTCGGACAATAAAGAGTGCCAGTAAGAAGATCTTTAAGATTTGAAAACTTGCTCTCAGGCCATCTCAATTCTCGAGCGATCGAAAGAAAGACTTCTTTTATTTGTTTGCTCACCAATACACACACATACAGACACGCATACACACACACATGCATACAAAACGCAGTCATTCCACGTTAACAATTGTGTCAATTAACGATAATATTAATTTTTTTTTTGCTTAGCTATATATATATATTATTATTATTATATATATATATAATATGTATAATGTAACACGATGATATAGGCTTGATATGACGGTGGCACACGTTTACTAACCTTTATTCCTTTTCTTCTCTCTTTTCCTGTCCTTCTCTCGACTCGATAATTCGGAGAACATAGATCAGAACCGAAGAACGAAAACCCTCTGAAATAATCTCGAGCTATCTTTATGTAAGAGCTTCGAATAAGAATATTTCGCGCTTAGAAAATTAGGATTCACAGAAACGAAGTAGATCAGGTAAGAAGTAAGTGTCTTTGATTATCATTATTGGTTGGCTTGGTCAGTTTCATCGTCGTTCGATTGTCTGGATTAAATTTCCCTTAGAATGTCTCAACAAATTTTACCAGAGAGTCTTCGCCATCGCTTATTTTTTAAAGAAATTTTAACGTTTACCTTTCATCATGTTCGTTGAATTGTTCCATTTCGATCGAATATACTTTAAAGAATTAAAAAACTACGATTCTGCCAGCGTCTAATGAGTAAGAGCGTCGACGATTTTAACGGACGCATAGGAAACGAATTAAGAGACTGCGTGCTCCATACGCTAGTCTTACGTTATTTAATAACGCTCGAGCCGAGAGGGAAAGTAGGATATTCCACCGACTGGATGCAAGTCGGTGACCAAAATTCCAACGCCGTTTTTCCGATTGCACAGGGCAGAGAAGCCGTTCGATGAGGTATTGCTGCGCGTTTAATTCTCGCTTATAATGTCGTTCTCGACGATTGTCTGCCCTGTTTACGATCCGATGCCCATCGATTCCAACGTGATCTAGCTTCTAGGTCAGTAGAATTCGCGCGAGTGTTAAGTCTTTCGAAAGGATG